ACCAACTAAGAGGCCAGGGACCGAAATTTCCTGCGCCATGCTCCTCAAGTGGAGCCTCCTTGGATGCTGTCATCCAAGGAGTCGGACTCGTTGGCCGGCATGACTACCGAACGGGACCGAATTCCGTTGTTCGGCTGTAGGAAGATCTGCCCTCTTAACTCCAGCACGGAAATTATCCGTGCTGAGGAAGCGTTCTTCACCGATGCATTTCTCTAACATCGCTCGTACAACAGCAGCCGTGTTCGAGACGGTAAGCCTTGGTGTAAGGATAGAATGCCCTCATCCATAACACCGAGTGCATTGGCCGTGAGGCTTGGCCCGTCAAACTTGATGCAGCTCGCATCAATTTTGAGAAACGTAACCCAGACGGTGTACGGTACGAGTTGCACCGACTGTCAAGAGGGGCAGGGTTACACTGTTTCTCGTGGGGTGATTCGTGTCGAGGTTGCCTGGACAGATCGAACCGTTCCCCTAGGGGGCCTCCCTCCCTAACGATCCATATTGGAGGGTGCGCATCTCCTCCGCGATGGCCGAAGGGATTAATACTTTACAATCCCTGTACTCGCGTTCGGGGAGGTCGTTTTCCGACGGCCCTTCTTCGAACGCAGCGGGTGGGTCTCTTCATACTGCTCGACGAGACCCAGGACATCGACAAATACGCTCCTCCAGAAAGCGTTGACCACATCCAGAATCCACCAAAGGATGTAATGGCGGTGGGAACACCTGATCCGGCTCGAGGGTCGGATCAGCTTGATGTTCAGGAGCTAAACCGTGTAACGGACCAGTTGCAAGATGACCTGGTTCATGAACGGACTCAGCGTTGTGAGCTTGAGGATCTTGTAAGGGATAATTACAATTACTTAACGCACGATCGTTCTGACCATCGTGCCGCTTTTGCGTTCACACAACTTGAGAACGAACTTTCGATTCGTTCTCTTTGTGACGATCTGGCTGAAGCTCGTCGAGACATCGCTCAACTGTGTAAGCTGGTCGCTTCGCATGTCGACCAGACTAGCTCGTGGAAACGGGACCACTCAAAGGTGGTCTCAGCGCTCGAATGCGTAGGTTTTCTTCGCATCTTGAAACGGGCTCGTACTGATAATACGGGCGGAAACGTCCAAAAATCGTGAGACTTAGAATGCGTACGCATCTTACGAGGCAGTTCTATCGTGTATGCGTTGCATATTAGACGCAACACACGAAATGGACCGATTACTTGGGCAGCAATTTACTGCTGCCCAAGTTTGTCACTGCGTGTTTCGGTAGGTTTACTGTAGACGGTAAAACTAGGTCTCCTTCATCAAATGAAAGAATGTTTGCTGTCCTAAGTTTGTCTGCGTCTCTTTTCTGCCTGTCTAGTGCATCTGCAATAGAGTTGTGATTAAAGCGGACAACCGCTTCGCGAGTCAGCAGAAACTCCTCTGCTGATTCATCCTTGTCAACAGGAGTGCGCTTCGTGTGCACTGCTGGACGAAAGCTGTCTTCACCAGTTAGGGTGTCATCGTCGTCACTTTGGCATTCATTGGCGATGCTGAATATACCAGCATCGTCGTCATCATCATCATCGATATCGATCGCATCGACATCGGCATCCATCACATCGACACCATTGTCGACGGGTGATGAGCAAGAGCCGGATCGGTTTTTGTTTGAGCGAGTCCACCTCCCCCCTTAAACTGGAGTCACACACTAAGAAGGCGGGTGAACGTGGATGGCGTAGGCCATTCACGAAGAACGGTGTATGCGTTGTCGACGCGTGCACCGAGTTGTTGATGGCGAATTCCGCCATTGGCAAGAACTCACTCCAGATCGCAAACGAGTGAACATACCCCGAAGCATCTCTTGGAGGACACGGTTGACGCGTTCCGTCTGACCATCTGTTTCTGGATGGTCAGAAGTTGACATCGTCAAACATGTTCCAAGTGAAAGGAACACGGATTGCCAGAACTTCACCGTAAAGCGGGGGTCCCTATCGGGCACGAGTTCACGGGGTAACACGTGAAGTCGGAAGATAGTATCGATGAAGACACGTGCACAGCCCTGGGCTGTGATTGACTCTGGAACAGCAACAACATGTACCATCTTGCTAAACCAATCAACAAACGCAAAATTACCAGCATTCTTGTGAACGTCTTTTAGAAAAGCCAAAGACGAAGTCCATCGTTACGGACTGCCAACACTCTGCAGGAATCGGTAGAGGCTACAAGGGTGCGCGGGATGAAGGACTAGGATTCACCCATTGACAAACTTCGCAAGCGAGAATGTATTTGCGCACAAGCTCACACTGGTGGGGCCAATGTAAGTCACGACTCACCGTGAGGTTAGTCTTTTCCCTACCGCGATGCCCACTTGTTGGGACATCGTGACACTCATACATGATGCGCAATCGCAAATCACCATGAGCCGGAACGACGACACGAGGTGTGTCGCCTTGACTGATGTATAGTACAGCAGTCCATCACGAACCGATTACCGTTCGCTTGAAGAGCGGTATTAAGACGAAAATCTTTTCAAAGCTTGATTACACGGATTGGATACGTAATCCATTCATCACAGAAGAGACTCACCTTCTGCGTATGATTTTCGCACGTCGTCGAGCAGATTCGACGACGGGACACTCACTGATAGTGTCGCTACAGTGGGATCACCCCTACTGTTGTGTTGAGCAGTCGGCTCGAAATCGGATCGACGCGAAAGAGCATCAGCGGCGACATTTAGTCTTCCTGGTTTATACTCGACGGAGAAGTTGTACTCCGCGAAGAAAGCAGCCACCTCGCCATTCGTTGCAAAAGGTTTGGACTGTTTACGGCCACGCGTAATGACGCATAGTCGGTAAAAACGATGAAGGGTTTATCTCCTAAGAGATATACCCGAAACTAATCTAGTGCATATTTCATGGCAAGTAGTTCTTTGTCATGCACTGGGTAATTCTCTTAGCTGCTTGCAGCTGACGCGGTTAATTACAGACGACGCGCTCAACGCCGTCTGAGTTGTACTGCACTAACGCACAGCAGGTTGCGAAATCGCTATCGTCACAGACCACATGGAATGATCTGCCCTGGTTTGCAATCGCCAACACAGGCGATTGTATCAAGCTTTTTTTGATACCTTCGAAAGAGTGCTGACACTCAGCACTCCATGACCACCTCTCGTTTTTCTTTAGCAGACGAGAGAGATGTACGGTCATCTCGGCGTAGTTGCGCGAGTACTTGTGCAAGTACGCAGCCAAGCCAAGGGACTTTCGAAGTACATTGACGTCGACTGGCACATGCCCAGTCGCTAATCGCCTTGATCTTTTCCGGATCAGAGCGTACACCGTTTTTACCCACGATGCAGCCAAGAAGTGGTATTTCGTTCGCTGCGAATATACACTTCTTGAGGTTCGCGAACAACTTATGCTCTCGCACTAGTGTAAGAACCTTACGGACGTGGATTCTATGAACCTCCACGTCCGTCTTTCCATCCGTAGCCCGGCGCTGGACGAAGGCATCGTCGAAGTAACTCGGTGCAAAATCGCGCACCGATCGCAACAGATTCGTAACACATCTGTTAAAAGTTGCGGGGGCGTTACTAAGTTCCTGCGGCATCACTAGCCACTCCCAGAGCATATCACTGCATGTCACTGGGGTGCTTAATGCTGTGTACCGGATATCCCGTTCACGCATGAGGATTTATAGGATCCATCCATCAGATCCATGGATGAAAAGATTGCACTTTTGCCATGCCATCTATTATGACATCCTTCCTTGGGATCGGCGTTTGAGCCGGCACCGTTGCAGCGTTCAATTTGTTGAACGCATGCACTATCCGCCACCCTCCTGTGGCTTTTCGCACACAGAAGTTCGGACAGCTGTGTGGGGATGTTGATTCCCTCACGTGACCAGCCGCTAATCGATCGGCAAAGAATTTGTTGATCGCTGTGACCTGTTCACGAGGCAGAGGCCACTACTTCATGACACAGTATTTCGAACCGGGTTTTAGTTCGATCTCATACCGAGCACCTTTGTCCTTCGGCAGCTCGCATGGCACGGATTCAGGGAAAACATCCCTGGATTGGACCAACCCCTTAGACAAGGGATTTGTCTTCAAAGACTCCCAAGATTTAAACGTGTATCGCTCAATCCGAGTCTTCTCATCGAGGACACTTTCGTCCATCCATGAGCTACTGAGAACCCGTTCGTTCTCAGCAAACACTTGTGCCGACCGAATATTGGCGACGTACTCGTCCTCTGTGACGAGTACGCAGATCTGCTTGATCTTGTCACTACACAGATCTCGCAAGAATCTTTTGTATTCTAGCGTTGGCAACTTGACTACCTCCGAAGATGACTTCTGGGTGTAACCAGATCAAGTGTATAAGCTCCTACATTTGATCCGTCATTCACCAAGACATTAACCGTCTCGGTGATTTCCTGGGAAAAAACATCCACAGGTGGTTGGGGATCCACACCCTCAACACAAATCTCTCGGGAGTTATCACTCTCAGGATCGCTGGAACTTTCTTCCATTACGTGTACTGACTGTGGGTGTACTACCACGACCATGTCCTCTTCGATCGACTCTCTTCCAGTCCTTCGGGCTTGCTCTACGACCTACTCTCTGGTAGTCGATCTCGCTTCAACGTGTTGTTCATCCTGAACAACCCTAATCTCTCTCCTCGGATGCACCCTTCTTGGTGTGCATCCGTGATCCAGTCTACTTGATCTCTTCGAGTGGTGAACCTTCGGCACAGCCTGTGTCTCTACACAGGTGCCGGAAGCTGGTTCCACAGTGTAGTGGCCTTCTACACTGTGATCTTGTGCAGTCATACTAACGACCGTACCACAAGTGAGACCATCGCACTCACTCGTAGTACATCCACACGCTTGTGGACGCTCCAAGACGTTCATCAGATGGCCATCTGATGAACAAACGACAGAAATCTTCACAGATCGATGCTGCCAGCTAACTCATGGCTGGTACTTTCGAAGCCATGGCAGACCGAGAAAGACATCAAATTTTTTCATCCATCCAGTACGATGAAGTCATCATCGTACTGGATTCCTTCTAGCGCGTAGTGAATTCCCACTACACGTTTGTTCCCTGTTACGGATGCGCCTGTAGCAAAGCCCACCGTCATCCTCGTTGGAGGGAACTCTCGATCAACATAGTTGAGTCTTCTATCTTCTAGCGATTGGCGTCGAATAAAATTGTTTTACGCCCCACAGTCAATTAGGGCGCGAAGTGACATTCCACTTGTCACTTCGATCTTGAAAGTGATGAGGGATACCTGACCACTAGGAAGAGTACCACACAGCGACTGTGTGTTGGGAGAAATCTTCGTCAAGAGTACTGCAAATTCTCTTGACGTTGCTGGATCAACAGGGTGCTCCGCCCCTACTGACCCTGTCCGTTTTTTTACGTTCCGACTTGCTGTCGCGGTTTAGCGACATGGCCGGACCCGCGCCTTGGACCTTTCCTCGGCCAACGGCAGTCATCACGTCTTGTATTTGGACGTATTGCGGTGCTTGGGACACTACACTAATGAGCGAAGTGTCCAATCTTATGACAGCGATGGCATCTTGCCGTTCGATTGTGACTCAGAGAGCGAGAGTTCTCGCTCTCGATTTAACAGAGGTCCATTGGTTCGGGACCTCCTGTTTTCTGTCGTATCGTCGGACGATAGTTTGACGAGTTAGCCTGAGACTGTATCAGGCTAAAGCCTTTTTGTTCCGCATACTCTATCGCCTTTTCCAGCGTACGGAAGTCCTCTTGGAACACGTAGGTCTTCACCGGTCCATCCACAAGGCCGTAGATGGACACGTTGATGAGCGTGTGCTCATCAACAGGGTTTTCCGTAACGCTACTCGCAAGGTAGCGCAGGTGCTGTGCGTAAGCGTGCACGTCACGCTCAGCCTCAAGCGTGCAGAGCGTGCTCTGAACTCGGCTCTCGGCGGCTCAAACGTCTCTTTGAGCCAAGACTTTAAGATCTCCAACGACTCAAACACGTTTGGGTCGTGAAGCTTGGGCCCTAAGGCCCAAGTCTTTGCTCGTCCTGTCAAATTGGATAGGGCAAAGGTGACTTGCATCTCATCACCCTCGATGTGACGGGCCCTGGTAGCGTCTTCTGACTCGACGAACCATCTCAAAAGGAAATCTTCATCTTTCCCTCATACCTTGAGATATCAATCTTCAAGGTTTCGGGTTGACGCATGTGCGTCAGCCTGCCCATCGACTGATGAGAGCCTTGCTGTTGTAGCAAGGCTATCTTCTGTCTTTCGAAGGCAAGTACCCCTAGTAGGAATTTGTGAATAGCAGCATGTGTGCTGCTGACGCATGACGATAACCTCACGCAGACCCAGCAATTTTTTTTCTGAGCGATGATGGGATCTAGAGCATAATTTAAGCACTATTTATGTGCACTCGTGGTCTGAAAGATTTTAGAGAGGCGATGTAGCTAAAGGAAGGAGGGCGTTTAGATTAGCCCCTTTGATTGGTACCCTTTAAAAAATGTAACGAAGCTTATAATGCCTGGCGCCATTTTCTTTGCAGAAATTTTTAATCGCAAACGTCGCGGCGATTCTTAATTGCAGTAACGAAGAACAGGGCGAGAAACGACATTCCCATCATGTCGCGTCTAGCTTGTCGGTCCCACAACGGATTACGCGTTCGACAAACAGTAGTATCATTTGGCCGAGGCTTTAAGAAAATTGACGTAGTGCTGTTGGTGCAGTTGTCTCTATTACTCCATAGTGTGAAAAAAGACTTAAATTTTGTTTGGGCTCATTACATTTGGTGAAGGGAATGCTGCTGCAAGGCAAAGGTCTCCTGTACGCAGCTTTTGAGGTCTTCTTACGATGACACAAGGTAACTCACCGATACAGACGACACTGACCATCATACCCTGAGAGAAGGTCAAGATGATATTATATTTTTTTTACTCCGTCTAGGCAAATTGTCAAACGCAACATTTATCGCGATTAGTGTCGCGGAGCAATTAAACAGACGCAGTTTTTTTTGCGTGGTACAATTTCGATGGAAACGGAACAACTGTAGAAGGATAAATGGCTCCACTTTTTTTTGTTGCGTGAAGTGGCATCCGAGTTCAAATTGTTGCTGTAGGAATAACAAGAAAGCGTGATCGGTAATCAGTCCAGCACTTGGCTTAAATAAGGGCGATCTGCTGCTGATTGTTCTTTTATTACCTGAAGGTCTCAGCGCTTGGGCGGTGCTACAAATCGCTTGTAACGGGGTAGCCCGTAAAATGATATTGACACCAAACGGTGTCAATAGAGATATTGTCTGGCATGACAATATCCTACCAATATTATCCGAGATGGATTATATGGAAGTTATATTATTCCGTTTAGGATAATGTTCACGTGCTGATTAAATATTGGTTGATCAAAGACGTATCAACCATAGATTACCACCAATAGCTGCTAGACGCGCGTAATAAGTGGTGAGCAGGTTGTCTTCATACGACAACATAGAGTAATATAGTTTGATAAAGACTGCAGTTATATTGATAGCTTAACTATATTAAATTCAGTTCTCTCTTTGCGCTTTGCTCAGCTTAATCGTTATGTAGACTAGCTTCATCTGCACGTACTCGTGTACGTAAAGGTTCGCGGCACCCAGACAAAGGGTGCCCCGTTACACATGGACGCACTTAGTAGTCCGTCCAACGACTACTTAGTGTCCGTCCGACATAAATATGCTGGACGTTGAAGACGACAGCTTCCACGTTACACGTGAAAGTTACTACCATGTGAGTGGCTCAGAATGGGATGTGTTCGGCCGCTAGGTGTGATCATGGGCGAACCCGCCATCAGTGGCATGTTGGAGTCTCTAAATAAAGACCATCAACATGCTGCTATTCACAAATTCCTACTAGGGGTACTTGCCGTCGAAAGACAGAAGATAGCCTTGCTACAACAGCAAGGCTCTCATCAGTCGATGGGCAGGCTGACGCACATGCGTCAACCCGAAACCTTGAAGATTGATATCTCAAGGTATGAGGGAAAGATGAAGATTTCCTTTTGAGATGGTTCGTCGAGTCAGAAGACGCTACCAGGGCCCGTCACATCGAGGGTGATGAGATGCAAGTCACCTTTGCCCTATCCAATTTGACAGGACGAGCAAAGACTTGGGCCTTAGGGCCCAAGCTTCACGACCCAAACGTGTTTGAGTTGTTGGAGATCTTAAAGTCTTGGCTCAAAGAGACGTTTGAGCCGCCGAGAGCCGAGTTCAGAGCACGCTCTGCACGCTTGAGGCTGAGCGTGACGTGCACGCTTACGCACAGCACCTGCGCTACCTTGCGAGTAGCGTTACGGAAAACCCTGTTGATGAGCACACGCTCATCAACGTGTCCATCTACGGCCTTGTGGATGGACCGGTGAAGACCTACGTGTTCCAAGAGGACTTCCGTACGCTGGAAAAGGCGATAGAGTATGCGGAACAAAAAGGCTTTAGCCTGATACAGTCTCAGGCTAACTCGTCAAACTATCGTCCGACGATACGACAGAAAACAGGAGGTCCCGAACCAATGGACCTCTGTTAAATCGAGAGCGAGAACTCTCGCTCTCTGAGTCACAATCGAACGGCAAGATGCCATCGCTGTCATAAGATTGGACACTTCGCTCATTAGTGTAGTGTCCCAAGCACCGCAATACGTCCAAATACA